AACCTGACATCAGGCTGAGGCAGCAGTTATTTAAACCCGACTTATTAGACTAATTTCAAGAAATATTTTCAATAAAATCAGAAAAAGTGGAGATCTGTTGATTTTGTTTTGCAGTTTTGTTAAAAACTCCAAATTATTGATATAATTTGGAGTCCAGAGGGCCACAGAAAAAGCTGCAGCGGGCCAGATTTGGCCCTCGAACCTTGAGTTTGACTCATGACGGCAGTTATTTTTGAATTTTAAAGTTTTTAACTGAAACTGCATAAAATGATTAGATAATTACTCGGTGTGTTTTATTGCTGGTGACACTCATTTCATCTCAGTAATTCAAGTCAAAAAGTGAATGTTAAATATATTGATTTATCACAATATATGATAAATATATTATATATATTTATCATATTTATATATATTTATATTTGTCTATTTAGAGGATAGACAAATCCTCTAAATCCTGTTTAGAGGATTTATGTCTGTTGCTTTTTATTATGGGTCTGTCTGACACAATAACACGTTTTACTGGATGATAAATTGTCCCAGACGTTATTGTGTTAGATGATAATATTGTTGTTTTGAGACAATTTACAAGAATTATAATGTCCTAATAATAAAAAACACATTCTCAAAGATCAATAAACTTTAAATTCTAATGAACGTTTAAGACTGGAACTGGACGACATTTTAAATATTCAAAATAAATAAATGAAAACAAAAACAACAAAGAAAATGAATTTTGAAGTCTGCAAACAAAACTGTCCTTAAAAAATGGCCAGTTGAGACCAAAGCATCAAACTGAAGGCTTTATGGTCATAATAAATAATTCATGCATTTAACTGATTTGTTGCGACAGGCCTCATGGAAACCTCAGATTCAGAAATTCTGAATCTAACAGAAAAATGTCAGCCTGATAATGATGTCATGTCCTGTTGGTGCCTTCAGTGTTTCGTTTGAAGCATCGGTCGCTGCGGCGCTGCTGGTTCTGTAGCTTGTATCTGTGTTGGGTTTATAAAATGAGCGCAGTGATTCAGTTTGACCCCCGCTGACCCTCAGAGCTCCGTGGACTCAGTCCCCCGCCTGCAGGTTTGTCACTAAAAGCATTTCGACTCTCCATGCGTCACCTGAAACACATTTATCATTTGTTTGATCATTTGTCTGACTCACTTACTGCTACGTTTTCCAGGAAACTCCTCTCTCCTCTGATGACAATGTTTATATCCTGAAACTCTGTTTGGATACAACGTCTTTATCAGATATGAAACATGGAGAACTTTTTATGGAACCAACAAAAAGTTACAATAATGTTCACTTGGCAGCTTGAATTCATGGAAAATAAAAAGTATCAAGAAGAAGAAAGGAGGAGTACGGGAAAAAATGAAGGAGAAAAGGAAAAAGGGGAGATTAGAAGAGAAAAAAGAAAATAAAAAGAAAGCAAACAGAAAAAATAAAGAAATTTGAATAACATAGCATGAATATCCAAAATGTAAAAAGTGAATATAGACAAAACATACAATTAAATTAAATGTATTATTTATTTCAAACACACAACCAGAACCACAGAAACAACCACAAAGGTTTAAGCTTTAGGTTATTTTACCAAACCTTCATTTATGGCAAAAACAATCCAGATTTCTCTGCTGTGCTTTATGGATGTTTTTAAATCAGTGAATATCTCCACAGTGAACCGTTTTATAATTTTATTTTCTCAATAACTGATCTTAATAATTATTTTTCATCTGTTGCACCTATAAATACTGAATGGATATTTATATGAAAAACAGTTTTTAGATCATCTTTATCAGCATGTTTAGCAGTTTAACACATTCTTACAAAACCAGACAAAAACAGTGAGTAAGAGCACAGAGAAGTAAAAGCGGATCCATTTACAGCCGTCCTGTTGTCACAGAGCTGAAACCCAGAGGTGGAGATCAGCTCCGAAGCCGCACAGCTCAAATATTTCACCAGTGACAGGAAATACTGACGCAACAGTCATAAAGTCATAAAACTGAACTGTCTTCGGCCCAAACTGAGATTCTTCTCCTTTGTAAAAGTTTAATAATTTACTCGTGTTAATGTTTGATAATGATGCAGTAGCTTGTATTTTATGGCTACGTAGCATTTAACTGACTATGATTGGCAGGTGTAGTTGCTGTTTTTCCTGCCAGTATTTATGACCCTCACATTAGTTGTTGTTCATTTTTATGAACTCACTTCACGAAAAGGAAAATAAATGATTTTGTTTGCAGTTTTCTTCTCTCACATACACATTCTGGAATATAAAAATGCAAATTACTAGCTCAGTTATTGTGTTGTTGTTTATTTAAATGTTTATTTTGTTGTCTACATGAGAGCCAAACCCATCAGGGTGACGGTTCGTGCAGCTCTGCAGTGGGAATCCTGCTGGATCGGAGCCAGCGGCTGTTCAACCTGTGAAGTGACGCAGTTCCTGTCAGATGAGGAAATACAGAGGCAGCCGATGTTAAGCAACTACAACGAGCTGGGTCAGGAAAACTGCTGGAAATTTTGTTTTTCAAGTGAACAGAACCACAAAGTCACACAGAGCCACTCAAAGACGTAGGTTAGAAAATGAAACAGGAGAAAATTTGGAATTGCACTTGATGAACTTTTCCTGAGGCAAAAAGTTCGATAGAGGAAAGTTTTCACTTTATTTTCTTTCTTCTTCAGAAGTCATCTGACAACATGGTGTTCAGTCACATTATGAACAAACGTGAAGGGCATATATCATAACTTTTACAAGTTTTTCTACAGTCCCAAGTCTGGAGTTGAGAAACTTTTCAAATAAGAAGAGAGGAAATCAAGGCAGTAAACAGACCTGAGCTCTGCCAAAAACCCATGAAGCTTCACATGAAACGCCAAACTGGACCAGCAGAACCAATCTGAAAACTTAGAGCAAAGGGGACAAGAAGATTTTAGCAGAAATGTTTAACGTTTGGAGACGCAGCAAACCGACACTCTGCCCAGGAATTTAATAATAATAATAATAATAATAATAATACATTTAGTTGTTCATTTCCCTCGCTGGTCCAGATTTTTTGTGCAAGTGTGAAAACAGTCAAACCAGCTCTGATGCGGACCGAGACCCACGTTTTGATTTGGTCTCGTTTCAAAATGAATTCTGGTGTTGTTCGCCTGGGATGTGAATACAGACCAGAATCGATCCCATCCAAGTCTTTTTGGACTTCACGAGCTGCCGTTTCTGGGCCGCGTGGTAAAACTAAGCTCTTCATTGTCGCTGACGCTGCTGCTGCACGTACTGATTGTTCATTTACCACAATGAACAACGAAAAAACTAAGGTTTTCCAGAAACTTACAAACTGGGATCAGGTTTTCAGTTTGGACAGAAGGGAAAGAACAATGTTACTCTGATGAAATGAGAGAAAATGACTTTAACAGAACTAAATAAATACCAAACTCAGTGACGTTCATTGGTATGTTGACAGATACCCGAGTGTCAGGGTAGAAAACAGGAAGTGACTTGGTGAGATAAAACATCTTTTATGGTTCTCAGTGGAGCAATAATAAACAGTCTGCAACCAAATGACTGCAGCAGAATCTCTGTTGGTGAATCTTCTAAAGAACTCCTCCTCGAAACTGCGGAAGCTCGGTCCGTCAGACTGACAGGAAGGTTCAGAGTACATAAAAACTCAGGAGTGGCTCAGAGATGAATTCCTGGAGTCACTCAACAGCTCCTGGAAACGGAGAAAAAGACAAAAAAAGCTGGCGTGATGAGCTTTCAGGAAAATTTCCCCCAAACGCTTGAAGCTGCAGCTGAATCCTCCAGTAAAAACATGCTGGCCAGACAGAGTTGCTTCATAATCAGCACTTTTATTACATGAATACATGTAATTAAGATCTTAGTCATTTGCAGGTCCATTTCCTGAATATTTTTTGATATGGTGGTTAAATAATTAAGGTCTCAAATGGACATTTTATCTACAAAGGGGGGAAAAAGATCTAAACCTACTTGTTACACGTCAGTTATCCAAGTCTAATCCAAGTCCCTAAGTCTGTCATCCAAGTTCAGGTCAAGTCTCAAACGATTTCATTAAATTAAACATTTTTTCATGAACTCCAGGAGCTCTAGGTCAACTCCAGCTGTTGGTTAGGAATCCACGGCTGTGCCATAAACATTTAGTAATTATGTTTCAATCTTATAATATTTAGGAGAGTTATCTTTTTCATCATTTAACATTTAAAAAAAATACTAAAAGGTGATTTATATTATTTTGAAAATAAATCAAATGTAATATTTACCTGACTAGAAATATAAGCAGGACTTTATGAAAAAAATCAGGATTTATCGCTGATATTTTTCATAAAGTTGAATCAAAGAAAGTGTTTTTTTCTCTGTATTGACTTTGTTCATTCCTGTCTTCATGTTTACAACTTCATTTTGTATCACAACACTTTCTTTGGAGGGTTTTCTTCTCACTCTGAGCTGGATTTCTGTAAGAGTATTGGGAAACATTTTACCTTCGTTCTCACGGTTTAGTAAGTAAACAAATGCTAAACTTCTGAATGAACAGAACAGTTAGTGCTTTTATTTTGATATGTTCAGCTGGAAGTCTCTTTAAAATCTGTGTAATATACATATTCATGTCTCTGGTAATACGTTTAGCATCCCGTTACACACTCCACTAATTGAATTTATGTTTGAAAAGTCAAATAGCACAAATATATGGTTAATGGTAACGCCAGCAAAGCGCATCATGGTTCCAGAAGAGCGTTGGCGTCACACAGCAGCGTTCTGTTTACCAAACTAATAATGGATGCTGCCGGCTATGGATTTAAGGTTATTTTAAGGTTATTCAGCCATTGGAGTGAGATACAAGATCATAATTCCAAGATGATTCTGGAGTTGTTATCATTATGTAGTATAAATAAAATGTATATGTATTTTTAAATTATGTGTGCATTTTTACACACATTATAGAATAAACTGTGGTGTGGTCCATCTATCTATCTACCTATCTATATAACATACAGAAATTTAAATTTTTATGTATCGGGTTGTACATTTATGTGAAACTTCTTTTGGAGCTGCTGCTAAAATTTGTTCTAAAAATGGGAAATTATTTATTGTTTTAGATTCACTTCTGATACTTATTGGTTAAACTTTGACAAGATTAAGCAGCAGCAGTTTGTGCTCCTGCTGCTTTGCCAGCCAGCTATAAAACAGCGGAAGCCCATGAAGTCAAAGAGCGAGGTATTATTTACTCTAAGCTATAAAACAGAAACCAGCCCTGAAGCTTCGCATGCCGTGGCGTGGCGTGACGAGCCCTACGTGTCAGAGCAGGTCTTAATGTTGCTCTTAAGTATTTTGCACTCAATTTTGCAATCAGCTTTAGTAAGTACAAGGTTGCATCACCAGTGAGCCGTCCCACTTCCCTATAAAAGGCCAGCGGGTCAGCTCAGGCAGGCAGAACATCAGCACCACTGATAACAAAGCAAACCCAGCAGCACAGCTTCTCTTCACTCGCCTTCTTCAGGTAAACTGGCCTTTACTTGTTGGAACTTCAGCTGCAAATATTCCTAGAAAACTAAGTTAGGGTACTGATGTAGCTTCTGCTGGTTTCTACAAGCTTGAATTTAACCAACATTTCATTTTTGGTCTTTTTTCTCCCCACAGAACTTTGGTTTTTAAATCACAATCCAGATGGAGTCCAAGAAGAACTGCAGCATCAGCCAGATGTGGGCCAATAAGATGCCCAAAGGAGTAGATTTGGAGATTTCCCATCAGCCCCCATCCATGAGGTGCGTCGCCAACCTGATCATCGCCATGGAGAGGCTGAAGTCCGGCATGGCAGAGTCGATCCTGAGCCCCGGCTTCAGCGACGAAAGCCTGCTCAGCATCATGCTGGAGAGCGTGGTGGAAGGTAAGCTCAGATTCTACTTTAAGTCCCTCTAAAGTTCAACAAAGCTGCAGTTTTCAAATGATTACAGCGTTTACGCTTTGTTAGATACTATGGATGCACCGACCCAGTACCGATACCTGGGCTGATACCGATCCGATGCAGAAAAGCAGTGATGAACTATGATTTTTCTACTCAAACAGTCCAGAGATTGTTTAAATTATTTGACTGAAAAGAGAAAAGATAGTGTAAACAAATGGAACATTCATTTTAGGCCAAATGTTTTAAATAAACATTTTCTTACTGATTTGATACAATATGATGTCACATTTTAAACAAAATAAACAAAAATAGGTTTGTGCATAAAATTCTGTAACTTAAATTACCAATGCTATGTTAGCTTAGCTACCTACCTTTTTCTTAAATAAAAAAAATTCTAAATATTCAAAATTAAGCAGACTATAATTGACTTTTGAGCATTTTGAATTGATTCAGAATTTCCAGGACAAGAAATTGCAATTCTCTATAAAATTGATTTTGTTTTTTAATTTATCGATTGAAAAAACTGCACCAGTGCAGCACATTTAAATACAATTAGCAGCTCCACCATCTTGGCCAAACATGTAAATACGACTTTAATTTGTTCGGCCAGAACAGCCAACGTGAAATAAATAATAAAGAAACTGAAACTAACTCAAACAATAAGGTGACTACGTTGGTCAAACATGAAAAAAATAAAAACTGCAGCAAACCTTCTTTCAAATGATTCAGAAAGTGCAATAAGGAATTGGTCCATCTTTAATAAATAAAACAGCAAACTGACCAGGTGTGCACTTCTTCATTTAGAGAGATTCATCTCTGAGAGGACGTCAGCTCGACCGGGTCAGTTCACCAGGAGGGAAGAGCATCCCTGCTCTGTGACGGACGGGCAGAAAAGAAGCCTGGTTCTGGTCCGGAACAACATGGAGCTTCTGGCAGTGATGCTGCAGGGAGGCAGCGACAGCCGCAAAGGTAAAACCGCATTTCAATTCTGCAAATTTCCCTCTTCCTGTCAGATCAGATATTTAGACTTTGCACAACCTCAGTTTTTAATTTTAAGCTTAAACTGAAGGAAAAAGGAGTTAAGATGCAGCTAAATTGGTAGTTTGTGTTACTTAGACATGTAATTTCAAGGAAGCTTTTAGAAAATATGGAGAGCACTGCAAAACCCAAAATCTTACCAAGTATTTTTGATGTAGTTTCAAGTGTAGTTATCCCAGCACACTGGAGATCAGTCAAAAATAAAATAAAAGTAACTTCTCAGCATCATATAGGAGCTTGTTTTAAATGAATAATTCCTTAATATTGATGAAAAGTATCAGCTTCATTGGCAGATTGGTTTTGATGAGTATTTCTTCAAATATTGGAATATTGGAAATATTGGAAATCTTTTTACAGATTGATACTTCATCAAATTAATCTGCTACTTTTTAAAAACAATATTATGGAATTACTCACTTAAAACAATCTTCTAATTCTTGATTGAACATTACTTGTAAGTTGGTTTTGTTTTATTCCAAGTGTACTAAAATACTTGCACTAGAAGCTAGACCAGAAAATACATTTTTAATATTTTGTATTTTTGCAGTGAGGATTACTTTTCTTCATTTATGAACATATTTATTGATTTTTTCCTCAGTTTACCTGAACATGGCGACTTACATTCACCTGACTCCCGACACCGGGCTGGGCCAGCCTGTGGTTCTGGGCATCAGAGACACTGACTTCTACCTGTCCTGCCACAAGGACGGCGACAAACCAACGCTGCATCTGGAGGTAAACTAATCCCACTAATCCCACCGACAGCGATCTGCAGACATTAAATCATCTGAAAGGTCCAGTGAAAAACTTTCTGACTGATCTTCTTTGTTGTTTCTTTCCAGGAAGTGGAGGACAAAACGAGCCTCTCTGAGATCAGCGCAGAAAGCGACCTGAGGCGCTTCCTGTTCTACAAACGGGACACGGGGCTGAACGTCAGCACTCTGATGTCCGCTAACTTCCCCAACTGGTACATCAGCACCGCCACCGACAACAGCCGGCCCGTGGCCATGTGCCAGGAGTCCGCCTCCCGCTACAGAACCTTCAGCATCCAGCGGCAGAGCTGAACCCGGCCTGAAGGGGGCGCTCATCATCGCTGACAGCACAGCCACAGTCTGCTGGATGGACGTGTGCGTGTTCAACGGAGTATTTTACTGTATGTACCAAGTACAGAAAGTATACTGCCTAATGTATTGACTTTGTCAAATTTCTACACAAGGTGGCGCCATTGTGCCGTTCAAAAAGCATTATTGTGTAAATATGGTTGGCTTAATATTTGTGAGTTGATTTTTAATATTTATTTATGTATTTATGCAAAATTGCTAATTTTATATTCATGATCTGGAAATCGGCTTGCTAATCACTGTTTAGAAAACATGCAAATGTATTAAATAAAGATCCAAAATCTAATTTTTTTTATGTGTGTTATTTACAGTTGAACATGTAACTCCACAGAGTGAACACACCTGGTCTTTTAAAACATACTTATAATGCGTTCATTCTCCTTAACTTAAATGAGAAACAATATATAGATATATTTTAATCAACCTCTACCAGCTTTAAACTTTTGAACCTGCCATAAATTTTAGTGGAGCTGATTTTCCGTAAAGAAAGGTCAGATGATCCAGTAGGATTTACCTGACATTTGTTTTTCAGTTGCAGAAAGCCTACAGAGTATCAATAGTAGAGCTGAATCAATTAATCATATTAATTGTGATGAATTGATTACTCAAATAATCAATAATTATCAAATGGAGTATACAGACTCAACAAAATGGCAATTTACTGAACAAACAACATAATCGGAGCAGTAATTAAAGCCAAAACTGTACAAAAATTAATCATATTTGCATTTAAGAAGAAAAATCTTCTTTGGGTTTAATGTCATAATGTTCATAATGTTCTGCCCAGAAATTCTCAAGTGTCAGGTTTAGCTTCACCTGGTTAAATTATAGAAGAAGAAGAAGAAGAGGAAGAAGAAGAAGAAGAAGAAGAAGAAGAAGAAGAAGAAGAAGAAGAAGAAGAAGAGTAAAAATCTCCCATTAAGAACCATTTGCATCCAATTAATAATCCGTTAATCCAAGAAAAATAATCAACAGATAAACTCTACACCGTATCGATGTCATGCTCCAGTGCCACCTACTGGTGGCCTCACCAGCATGCGGGTGAAGTGTTTTCCCACGGACACAACAGAGACAGGCAAAGTGAGGATTCGAACCGGCAACCCACTGATTACGGGACGATGCCGCCATCATCCTAAAATGTTAGAAGTATTTTTTTAACTACAGATTCATCCTTTGTCACGGCTAATCAAGCGGTCGCTAAAGAAATGCTATGTTGTTGTATTTTAGGTAATAAAATGTTTATGTTCTTCTTTAAAAAAGAATTGAAATATTTTTTCAATAATTTTTTAAATTTTAATATAAATGAACAGGGCCGTGCAGAGACCACTAAAGGGGCAGGTGCTCAAAAAAAAAGGGCACATCTTACCGCATTCT